TATATATATATATATATATATCAATCAGCCTCTCAATAAAACCAACTCAGCCAACTCTCTTCTTTCCAAATACAAATCATTTGGTTGATTGCTTCAACCAACTCTCCTTTCCAATAAGCTTCCCTAAGAAACCTTGTATGAAGCTTCCCAAAACTCCCCCTGATGCCAAAGAAGGAAATCTTTCAGCAGCTCAGCTTATTGGCAGATTCATTGCCCTTCTAAAATGAGCTGGGCCCAGCCTGCAAAAGGGGCCATTTCCATCATTGACTGTTTGTTTCTTAACTAGGACCCGGTCTGTGGTTCTAAATAACATTCCTTAAAAAAAACACAGGCCCAGTTTAGATCTCCGTCATTGCCATCCATTGTGGGGTGCCCATTGTAGGCAATAGTCTTTTTAAGGGTTGTTTAGAATAGTAATTTTTTTTTTCTTTTGTTGATACTCGTTATTAATACTTATATAAACACTTTTATTTATTAAATTAAATAAAATTATTAATCATGAATTTCAAATCCTTATACCAAACAATTTCTCAATCTTCCGGAATAAACTTAAATTCCTAGTTTCCTACCATGTTCTTGCAAGCTTTGATGCCAGGCCGACCGAACCAGAGAAGATATAAACAATACAAACAAGGACTCCATGTCAATTTTTATAGGGGAGTCCAAACAAATATTTACTCCTTTAAGACATGGAAAAGATTTAATTTGAAAGTTGAAACGAATAAAACACGATCAGTCCATAAAATATCCATCTTATTTCTCTTTAAAAATCTATATAACAAAATGAATATAGAACTGAGCACCATCCGCGGGTACACTAAGTCAATACCCGAACCATAATCCTTTCGATTCTCCTGAGTTTGAAACCAGCACATTCAGCAATTCAGATTCACAGAACAACAAAAATTCTCTCCAGGCGGTTCGTTCTTGACTTGCAAACCCATATCATCCCAAACCCCTTTTTTCTTTTCATCCTATACCACATTGTACCCTATACTTTCCACATGTTTTGTCTTTCTTTTCAAAAAAAGGTAACCAAAAAAAACAAGAGCAAAAGGTCAGCTACGCACACCTAGCTGCTGTGCCTATGTTACTGTAAGGGCAGTTTTGATTTTATGAATTGTGCATGACATGAGGTGGTTAACAGTGTCGACCGACTCCACAGTTAGCTTCGCTGTAGGAATGCTATTCACCAAAATCTGAAAGCCAACTGTGAGTAGACATCCACCATCATTGCCTTCCACGTCCGGTTTCACCAAAGGTCCATTGGAGCTTTCTCCTGCTGCCTGACCGCCTGATACACAAGGAAGGATAGCAAACCCTGATGGCAGGAGGGCCACATAGGTAGGATCTCCACCGTTCATAACAACATCCATTGCAGGTATGTCTACTGGTGCATATACTACCATTGAGCCAGCAGCATCACTCCATGTTTCCTGTAGAATTAGCATACTGGTTTCGTTTGTGTTAATAGCCTGCAAGAGTAGCACAGAAAGAGTATACACCTTAAACAGGGGAAAACAATAGGAAAGAAGATAATTCTGCTAATTGTCGGGCATTGCCACTTACACTGCCACGGAGGAGAGTGACACAGTTTCCTTGGCCATGGCCTTTGGAGATTCGAACCATCTCTTGCATTGGCGCAATGTTGGACAAAATGTCCCACTGACACCTCATTTGTTCATTTCGCAAGAATTCAAACAACCTATGCTGTGACACTGGTATCCAAACAGAAGTTGCAGCACTCAACACAATACCAGGAGGCTCACCAGGATCATTTATATTCTTCCGCGTCAACACCAAGACATCATCACTTATATTACCAAGATGGAGCCTGTCCCACTTACGCACACTTGAAGAACAGATTCCAGAACAGAAGTTAAATGTCATACGCTGTGCCAGTTTTAACATGCTCTTCCTACCACTTGGAGTTATTCCTGTGGCATGATATGATGTATTAGATGATAAATTTACCATAATAAACATAGAAGTGAAGGGAAAATAGAGGAGTAATGAGAAACCGGTGTGGTCTTCACTAGGCATAGTGGAGGGCAAGTGCATTGCAAAGCCCTCACATTGTCTTTTTAGGGAAGCTAGCCACCTCTGTGCACCAAAACCTAAACCAGATCTGACTAACGGCTTGAAGAGGTGGTGGACAGCACTTTCATCAAACTCTGAGTGTTCCACCCAGGTAACCTGCATTTACAATTTGTAAGCAACCTACTAGAAAGTATCAATTCATCATTTATTGGTTCATTTTGGAGGCAAAAGAAAATACATATTAGTCTCCGTTTGCCACTAATTTAAAATAGTTCCAGATGAATATTTTCCTTTTGACCACAACACACCTCAAGATACACAATGAATGATGAAGCCAGCATTATATTTACAGTCTCTCCACCAAGAAAAAATTATCTTAACATCAATCTTTAAACAGTAATCCATGATGGGTTTAGCCAACCATTCCACTTAAGCAGAATTCACCACATTCACCAAATTACATGGTATTATTATTTCTACACAAAATTATGCGAAAATTCAAGTCAATGGAAGGATAAAAGAGACTTCTGACTACATGGTAAGAGTACAGAAAGTATTACATGCACAAAGAAGAGTTGGTGCAACCAAGAAAACTGTGTGACGCAGATGCATACAAGTTTAGGGAAGGGACAAAATAAATGTTCAAACATCAACGAATGGTACTGACAAAAGATAAAACAGAAAACATATTACATAATAATAATTTAGATACATTCTTAGACTTAAATAGACTATTTTTGCTTAATTAAATTAAGTAGAATGGTGGCATTATTAAAATAAACAGGTTGCCACAAAACAGGTTGGAAAGATGACAAGATGATGAGTAGATCGAGGTTACTCAATAAATAAAAAATTCTTCAATGAGAGATGTAGAGATAGGAATAGAAGCATCAAATATATAGTTTATACAGCAAAGATTGAACTTCCCAAGGGTTTAAACACATATATTATAGATATGGCATCGTAATGTCATACTAACATGATAATAACAAAGTGAGGACCCTAGATTTGCTCAACTTTACATGCAGCAATGAGCTGGTTAAGAACAGCTACCTTCATTTTTGAAACTGAAGATTTTAAATGATTAAAACGAGGAAGCATCTTCTTCAGCAAAAATAATAATAGGAGCTTCAGATTCATAGGAACTGTAAAGTTTTATTTTATTATGTGCAAACCCATCAAGGGGATGGCAATATAGGTAAGGAATTAAAAATCATATTAAACTGTGAAAAACACAGGTCAAGGTGAGTAGAAACCAGAATACTAAATTGACATAAATTCACTTTCATGTAGGCACAACTAAGCTCAAAGTTGCAATTAAAACAACCTCATTAAATAACAATAGAGGAAAACCAAAAAGATGTATTGGAAGCAAATCAAAGAAGTAGGACATGCTTTCCTTACAAAAACAAAGAGACTGACAATTTACATTAGCAATTACCTTGGAGTAGCCATCAGCCATATCTTGGACAACACAACCAGAAGGAAGCCTCCTGCAGCTTGGAAGCAAATATGAACTTGAAACATCTCGGTTACTGTCAATTGAAACATCAACAACAGCCCACAGACCCTCAGCATGCTGCTTGCAGAAGCGAAGGAATTTAACTTGACGGACAGGAACCAAAGGCGAAAGCACTTGAAAATCAGCATGCATCTGCAAGGTAAGATACTTCAGTTCAAGCTTCACATAAATAGATAAAAATAAAAATAGCAGATACTTACCATTTGCAGTGCATTGTTTCTGGTATCACCTGTACCAATGGATAATACCTCAATGGTCTCTGCTCTTCCAATCATACAAAGAAACATTTCTGCCCACCGTCCCTGTCAATAGAATAATGAAATTGTCTATAATAAGAAGCACTAAAGCACATAATCAAATGTATCGCAGCAGATTGTAAGTTCATGAAACAATAATAAAAAGCACCAGAACAGGATGTAGCATACCACATCCATCAGCATATCTACAAGAGCCAAGCTGCTGATGACTACAATACCAGTATCACGTGAAGCCTCGGTAGCATAACCAGTGGGTTTCATGCCAACCAGAGAAGAAAATGTCCTCATATACTCTTCATGATTAAGCGATTCCTTCCCTCCATCCAAGCTTTTCATCCAGAGGGGACTATCCATCTGTGCCATTTTAATTAATTCATCCATAGCTGCCAATGCAACATCAAATAATGTTGATCTATCAGGTGGCACTTCAAGGCCCATTGGTTTCAGCATAGGCATCATGGTTCCATCAACAAAATCAAGTCCCATTGGCAATGTGATGGTGCCAGAATTGCCACTCCCACCAGCAAAACCATTTCTGCCTACTGCAAGCTCCAAATTAGAATTTAAACCTTGTGAAGTGCTAGTGCCGGCCGAGGATGAAAGCGGCCTACCCAAGAATTTGTTTGCTAAAGCACAAATCCGGCCTAATTCATCTTTCAACCGAGCATTTTCAATCCTAAATTGGTGCTGCTCATAAGATATTTCACCAGCCACTGCTGGACCACCACAATTGTTGCACATTGGGCTACCAACGGCCTGCTTCAACATTTCATTCTCTGCTCGCAGCTTATCATTTTCTTGTCTAAGAATTACATTCTCATGGCGCTCCAATTGGGTCTGGTTTAGAATCACAACTTTCATTATGACTAGATTAAATCACAAACAAAAAGACTTGAATTCAAGAAATTTTCAATTTACCTTCATTTGGGTTCTCCTGTTCTGGAACCAAAACTTTATTTGCTTGCTTTCCAAGCCAAGCCTCCTGCTCAGTCCCATTCTTTGTTTCTCATCAGGGTGAGGACATTCCTTGAAGAAACTAAAGCACAAGTGCAAAGATGAAAAATGTAAACTTGGTTACGCAAATCATGAAATGATAATTGACAAGAAGCAAAACTGTAAAAGCACAAATTCCTTGAATTCAAATTCAAATAACACGGTTAAGCCATACGATTCAAGCTCTTGTATCTGGTGAGGAGTGTGTCTATGGTACTTCTTCTTCCTTGGAGGTCCATCATCTCCGGCATCCTGATCATCACCGGAAGCACCTTCAAAGTTGTCACTTCCAGACCTGCTCTCATAGCCATCTTCCCTCATCCTTCCAGCTACACCAGGATCAAAATTTTCCCCAAGCAGAGCCATCTCAGCAGGACCATCCATTCTCTTCTGCAACAAAAGCCAGTCCCATTAAAGATCCATCTTAAAAGCTGTAACAAAAACTCACCCAATAACATAAAAGCAGCAATTAAGTAGGTAAAAAATTAATCAAGGACGACACAGAGATAAGAGACAGGGGAAAGCGTGCGTACAAAGGAGAGAGAAAAGGCTGGAGATCTATTCATAGATTTGGAAATAGGTGGGGTGTAAGGGGCTGTCTGAGCAACGGCACCCACACTGGGAATGTTGCTGTGTGAAATAATATTAACCATGTATCTTGCACCAATCCCACCACCTTCACTACTAACCCCGATCAAACCTTCAAAACTAATCAAAATAGAAACAGAAAAACTGAACCTTCTCCCTCTGAATCTCTTTAATATCCTCTCTTTTTCTCTCAGGTGCCGTTTGCCTTAGGGTATATATATGTACTGTAAACAACAGTATCAGTTTTCGCAAGAAATCTGGGTATGCTTTGATTTTTCTTCATTCTCTCTTGGTTCAAGAGCTTGTCCTTCCAAATACTACTCAGATTGAGCGAGTCTACATAATTTACAGTGGAGAGACAAAATGAAAAAGCTGTCTCCTTGTTAAGGGCTCATGCATGACTCTAGAAGAACTACTTTTTCTTCGCCACCTAGAAAAACTCTATCTAGAGACTCGGTTCCAGAATAAGGAAGAAGACAACACCAAGACCCAGTCTTTCCTCTCACTCTATCAAATCCATAAAGTGAAAAGGGGAAAAATCTCTGATACAAACATACAGCACCGACAAATATGAAAGAAACCCTAATTTCTTGCACCAGCGGCTTGCTTGACCATTTGTTTGTCAGTACCCAAAAGGAACTCATAGAAAACAGAAGCCTAACAAACCAAAAAGACACAAACTTTTCTTGTTTCTCCGCCACATTCACACAATCAATCATGACTTTTCAAGTGCCACAAAATCAACCCAAAGAACTTGTCAAAGCTTTTCCACACCACAAATCCAAGATTCAAGGCAAGAAAACAAAAAAGAAACAATAATATCTGAACCAAACCCAGTACGGTGAAAAAGGGTATACCTTAATAATTTTGGACAGTACGCCAAAGTCAGTATATGGCACAGTCACAGAGACGATAGATATAGATACAGCAGGAAATCAGATCGTTTCTCTTTCCCTCTCTAACTGTTGGGATCTGTAGGAGAGTAAAAAGGACAGAAACTATATGTTAATTTATCAAAGTTTTGATTTTTATGGCGAATAAAATAATGGGTTAGATAGTTCAAAAAAAAAAAGGGGTTAGAAGGATGTGGTGAGCTGACTTACAAGGACCACAAAGAGATTAATAGTCAAATCTCTTTTGTTTTTTTTTTTTAAATCAAAACCCTAACCCTAAAAAACTGATATCACTCTCTATTTTTTTTTTTTTCTTCCTTCCTCTGCTTCCTCCCTCTCTGGTTTTTCACTGACTTTTCTCTTCTTTCATGCAGATTTATAGATTGCAGAGAGCAGAATTCTTTCTTCCTCCCTTCGAGAGACAAAGAAAAGAAATACGAGTACTAGGATAAGATATTGATGTCAAAAAGAGA